GGTCTTTCTCCTATCCCAGTTGAATGTGCATTTTTTAAATCTATATTTGCTGCCATTAGTGTCAGAGATTATATGCTTAACATTTGAAATCTTTCATTCTGCTGTCTGTCATTTTCCCTCATCCTAGTCTTACCGAGAGCATCTCTTTTTATATTTCTCGCTCTTTCTCCTTTAGCATCAGGTGATTGTGATGTCAGAGACTGTAAAGGCTTCAGTACCTATAAGAAACTGTAAGTTCTTAGAACAAATGTTGGTTACTTTCTGAATAAGTGTGTTCATATCTGTCTCTTGTGTATGTGTTAATGTACAGTATGTATCTATGTGCCAGTTAATGTTTTAACTCCGTGTCTGTTGCTCTGCATGTTTGTGTGTTCATTTATATTGCTGTGTGTGTGTGTGTGTGTACTATTCTGTTGTTATTCTGTCTTTCATGTAGTTATTTTGTATGTATTTGTTTTTATATATACATATTTATGTGTTTTATTTTATGTACATTTGCTTTTTTTGCTCTACCGTTCAGTAAGATTTGTTTGAAAGAAATCAATACTTTTATTCATAGTTATTCATATATTGTTTATATAATACTTTATATAGTTGTGTCATTCTGTGTTATTGTATTGTAGTTGTGTTTTTTTATGTGTGTGTGTATTTTTGTTTTATATAGCTGTGTGTGTTGTCTATCAGGTTCAGGCTGTAAGCTGGAAGTGGGAGTGTCGTCATGTCTGCTGACCCCCTCTGCCTCACCAGGAGCGGCTGAAGAGCGAGGGATGAATGAAGCAATGTGAGTAACACACAAACAACACAGCAGACTGAGATAGAGAGAGAGAGAGAGGGTAGAGCAGAGAGAAAAGGCTTTGGTTGGGGAAAAAAGAATTAAAGTCTGAGTAAAACTCCTACTGACCTTCTAACAGGAATCACCAGAAGTGAGTCATAATGAAAGAAATGAAAACTGAAGATTGAGGGTTGTCATCAAGTCATGATATTACATTTTCTTAGTGTCTCCAGCATACCTTAGATTTTATATATATATGAATAAATATTAATTGATGTTTTCTGTGTGGTCTCAGAGGTGGCTTTGTGAAGTTGGAGACGGGTGGCATGAGCCCGGTGGACTGGACTGTAGCAGACGTGGCCAGCTACTTCACCGCGGCTGGATTTCCAGAGCAGGCGCTCGCTTTCAGGACACAGGTGCGCTGAACCAAACTGCATGATCCTTGAAGAGTTCATATGCTACTTCACTGGACTTAAAGGGTTAGGTCACCCAAAAATGAAAATTCTGTCATTAATTACTCACCCTCATGTCGTTCTAAACCCGTAAGTTTACGTGGATACGTTTTCTACGTATTCTTGATTTGAACGAAAACAACGTATGCACGTGACGCAGCTGATACAGAATAGCATACACTGTTTACGTTCAGCGGATACTCTCCAAAATGGCACCAGGGTGACGTGGAGGAGAAGAATTGTTGAATAAAGTCGTTATTTTTGTTTTATTTGAACATAAAAACTATTTTCGTAGCTTCGTAAAATTACGGTTGAACCCCTGATGTCACATGGATTATTTGACCGATCTCCTTGCAACGTCTCTGCACCTTGATCGTGGTAATTACATTGCTGTCTATGGGAGGGTCAGAGAGCTCTCAGAACTCATCAAAAATATCTTAATTTGTGTTCTGAAGATGAACGGAGGTCTTACGGGTTTAGAACGACATGAGAGTGAGTAATCAATGACAGAATTTTCATTTTTGGGTGAACTATCCCTTTAAGACAGAAGCTATGCTATAGAGAGAAGGTATAACTGAATCTTTGTTCCTGACAGGAGATCGATGGGAAGTCCCTCCTTCTGATGCAAAGGAATGATGTGCTGACAGGCCTGTCAATCAGACTTGGTCCCGCCCTAAAGATCTATGAAAGACACGTGAAGGTTCTGCAGAGGACCCATTTTCAAGATGACGAAGCTTTCTGCTGATACACACACACACACACACACACTTACAGTATATATATATTAGCTATTGTACATGACAATGTACACCTGTACATATACCTACAATATTTACTCGTCCCAGAAAGCGCATATTCCTGAAAACATTCAGTGTGACTGTTCAGGACTCCCTGAACAGAAACATTTCTTGTTTTCCTCACACACAAATGTATATATTTTTTCAATCAGTAATCCCTCAGCTACTGGAAAGAAATTTGGCCTGAAAAAAAAAAAAAAAAGAGTAAAATGAACTGAACTAAGCAGAAGCATGGAGTGAGTTTAGAACAAAGAAGACTGAAGAGAGTTTCTTTTTTTGGAAAGACTGTGCAGTTAATGCTGCTCTGGTGGAGACCACTGTTTGGATTGTGACCTTTGACCCTGAATTCATTTCATCAAGTGGATTTTTCCTGCAGTACTTATTCAGTCCAGTAGAGGGAACAGAGAGAGAACGTCATTTTTTCTTTGTGACCGCACTGGTTTCAAGTTTGTGACTGAAACCAAACAAAGGCTGGATGGTTTCCACTGCGCACGAAACGTTTTGTTAAAAAAAAAAAAAAACTGGTTACAGTTTGAAAGAAGTAAATTCTGATTGGATATTTGCTCTTGACATGCTAACTCTTTTGCAATGACACTGAAACCCTTGTCTTCCCTCAGTGATGGACGGAATCCTTTCTTCCTGACATTCTGAAATGAACTTCTAATGTTCCTTCCAGTGTTCTTGCATCTTGCAATGTTATGTCAGAAAAAAAAAAAAACACTTTGTACGTTTGTGCAGATCTCTTGGGCGCATCTCACAGAGGATCTCCCTTTAAAGAGACTTTGACTCCTCGGATTTGACATTGTGGCCCCACGTGTGGAATATCACCATTGATAACTGAGCATATATTTTGTAAATATCAATCAGTTTTTTAAGGTGAAGTCCAAGTTGCGAAGCAATGACGATATTCCTTCACCAGCAGTTGAAGAATGTGTCTGAATGTCCTCAAATGCACAGAAAGCCCCAAAGCCATGCGGCTCTTGAACTTTACAGTTTGTGAAATATATATGTATCAGTCCATCAGATGAATATTGTGGGAACTGAGAAAAAGATTTGTGTAAAACAATCAAATAATAATGGAACAATTTACAAGAACTGACTTGTGAGAGGAGAGATGTAAAAATGGGACGCACTGAATTGCTAACCTGTCCTTTAGCTCCAGTGTATTTTGCGTCGTTGGACTGATCGCACATACAGATGGATCCATCACACTTGTAAATAGGACTGTTACTGATTCGGCCACTAAAGGCAGGTTCATTTCCATCGTGAAGAAACCCTGAATGAGTTTAAATTGCTCAGTGCCATAGGTCAGCCTGATTTCAGATTAGAGTAACCTGTTTTGCTGACAATTGTAGCATTCCTCAAACTCTCTCTATTTACTTATTCCTTTGTATGTTTGTTTATAAAATTGTATCTTAATTTTTATAACGTTAACAACTGTCTAAAATACGCAGATGTTCTTTGGTTGATTTACAGTCTAAAGACCACTTGCAACAAAACGCTGGAGCTCACTGCAATGTTGATAATGCCTGCAGTTTCTCTGTTCATGCCTTTCATGGTGAACCTCGATGAAGTAGAATGTCAACAAACCGTTAAAAGTTTGTTTTCTGTGTTCTCGGCGAGTCTTTGGAATGAGTACATCATTGGATTGCAAGAAAACAAGTATCGCAAAGCAAAAGAAAGAACTAATTTAAGACAAAAAGCTACAAGTGTTGTTGGAGATTAAAATGTTCAAGGGTTTGCCAGCAGAGGGTGACATGTATGGAAGCATATGGGTAGCAAAATTCATTTTGAAATGTAATATGCAAAATGACAATGCAATGTGTAAAATGGCAATGCATTTCTTTATTTAAATTTACATTTTCCCATACATATGTGCAACGTTTAGTGCAAAATGAAAATGAAAATTAAATTATATAATTTAGATTTGCCATTTCGTACACTAGTTTTAATATGTAAATGAAAAACATATTTTAACTCTTTATAAGTTGCTAAATGAAAATGTATTACCCAAATTGATTAGATATTTAAAATGTCCAAGCAAAAACTGTAGCAAAATTATAATTTAAATGCCATTTTTCCTAAATGCATTTAGACTTACGGGTAGGACACTTTTTCATCGTGATACCGCGTGATAATTGTAGCAAAATGCATTTAGGAAAAATGTAATTTAAATGATAATTTTGCTACAGTTTTTGCTTGGACATGTTAAACATATCTAATCAATTTGGGTAATACGATTTCATTTGAATTTTGCAACTAATAAAGTGTTAAAATATGTTTTTCATTTACATATTAAAACTAGTGTAGGAAATGGCAAATGTAAATTATATAATTGAATTTTCATTTTGCACTAAACGTTGCACATATGTATGAGAAAATGTCAATTTAAATAAAGAAATGCATTGCCATTTTACATATTGCATTGTCATTTTGCATATTACATTTCAAAATGAATTTTGCTACCAATATGCTTCCATAGACATGGATAACGAAATGTTTAGTCTGGGATACAACTGTAAATGCCATCAGGGTATATGTTTACATATACAGCCATAAGTTACGACTTTAGACCAGCATCCACCTTGATGAATGTAGATGCTGGGAGTGAATCGAAAAGAGTAATGCATTGTCCAATCATTGTGTACGTTATTGAATGTCCAAGTGTTTTTTCATTTGTGCTCTTTCTAGTTCATTTTGAGGAACTTCAGTCTTACTCAGTTGTTTCTGTATGTCCTTTAACCATTTCTGTTGTTTTGTAATGAGAAAAACGGAAAGCTTATTGATTACTTGCATTAAAAAGGACTTTCCAGATGACTGCATCGATGGACGTCTATGAGTCTTTACACTGTTTGTGAATGTATGTTAGAAGAAGACAGGAATGTCTGGAATGAGCTCAGTGGGAAAGAGGGCAAACACTTTCAAAAACAAAGGAAAACTCTGAAAACGATTCATAATTACTCACTGTTTGTGTACATATGCATGCAACTTGGGTCACTGTGACGGAAACTTATTTCTATGTGAGGGGGTGGGTTTCAGAAGTCCAGTGTGTGGTGCAGGCTGCCACACAAACATTTTCTAGGCATGGAGCCTGTGCAGGAAGAGCGTCACACTTTGTACAGCACTGCAGTGAACTGAGGACTACAGACTTCTGACCTCTAGAATAAGGATAGGCTGATTTCTGATCGTATCTGTCCCAGAACAGGCTCTTTTCCTCAGATAAACACCTCTACCAGCCTGTCCTGCGATGCCCGCCGCTGGAGCCTCAGAGTGAGTATAACTGCTAAGCTTTGGATTTGAGTGTGTGTGTGTTTGTTTGTTTAGATTGAATATGTAAGATTCTTCAAAAAAAACAACAACAACAACAACAAAAAAAACAACTTTATTTAGTTGTCAAACACTGCATTTGTAGTTCATTGTAGAGTGTTACAGTTGCAGTGTTTGTCTCTTTTTCATAAGATTCATAATACTTTTAATAACTCACAAAGTAATGTGTTTGTGTTTGTCTGAGTAGTTTGATCTTAGCTGTAGACATAACTTTGCTCTAAAAACAGACCAGTGTCACATGAAGAAACAGGAGACCAGACAGCAGGGTATGTGTGTGGGTTTGTGTTCACATTAGTGCGACCAAGAACTGCTTTCATGTTTCATTCTCCTCATTAAAACTCACAGTTACGACTATAAAATGGGGTTTAAACCTTGCTATGACCCAATATGCTATCATTTTCTCAATTGCTTTATATTTTCATATTTGAATGTACATGAACTATTGATTTGTTAGTCCTTATGGAATGTATGTTTCCTTAAATTCACTTTTTAATGAAAAAAATATTGTGTTATTCTATTTTTATTTCTGTCCGTTTCTTGAACAGTTCAAGAGAAGGTAATTGTCAGCTAAAAAGAAATATTATTTCGATAAATTCGATTGTATTGTTATTATTATTCTGTGCTGTTTAGTGTAATATTCCTATACAGTCTATTATAATATTTATATGCAGTGATTTTCAATATCTGTGGTGTGTACATAAATATATTCTGAAAACGGATGCAGCAAAACAACAGCGGTAAGCTTTTACACATGTGCTGACTTGGCATTTATAAAGAACAATGCATGTACTTCACTGTATATTATTAATGTTGTGGAAAATTGGATTGTGCATTAATATAATTGTGTGTGTGTGTGTGTGTGTGTGTGTGTATGTGTGTGTGTGTGTGTGTGTGTGTGTGTTGAACAGTCCAAAGTCGGAGGATTTCTCCACTGCTATTCTGAAGCAGAAGATTCGGCCGAATCGACTCATCGTGGATGAAGCCAACAATGAGGACAACAGTATTGTGTGCTTGTCACAGGTAACCTGTCTATTTGTGTGTGTGTGTGTGTGTGTGTACCTACTTAACCATATTTTCGGGACAAATCTGTACCCAAAAGTGAGCAAAACCTGACAAAATCACCAAAAATCTCCATTTGGGGACATCCTCATTTGTAAAACTGGTATAAAATTAAAGTAAACAAAGTTTTTTTGAAATTGTAAAAATGCAGAAAGTTTTCTGTGAGGGGTAGGGTTAGTGGTAGGGGTGGGTTTAGGTTAAAAAGTGTATAACTATCTGTATAAAAACAATAGAAGTCTATGTAATGCCCCCATTTAGATAGCTAAGTAAACGTGTGTGTGTCTGTGTGTGTGCGTGTGTGTATGTGTGTAAATGGTTGAGTGTTGACTGATAAAACTGCAATCTGTAATTTATATCACTAGCTGCAACAAATTAAATTAAAAAAATAATTGTTTCAAACATGTTTCCCAAACATGTGCATATAAATCCCTGCATGAGTGTTACAGGTTAAAATGGAGGAACTGCAGCTGTTTCGTGGAGACACTGTGGTGTTACGCGGTCGGAAGCGGAGACAGACGGTCTGCATCATTCTCACAGACGACACGTGTGGCAATGAGCGTGTGCGCATGAACAGGGTGACGCGCAACAACCTGCGTGTGCGCCTCGGTGACGTCATCAGGTGTGCGGTGATGACATCTGGTTTCACTGCTCTCTTATTTCCCAGCAAGATCATTAAATACATTTATTTAAAGGGGTCATATGATGCGATTTCAATTTTTCCTTTCTCTTTGAAGTGTTACAAGCTCTTGGTGCATAAA